CTTTTGATCACTTGCTCATCTGAGAGCTGGACAGTAGTGACTAAGAATGACAGAAGGTTCCGACTTGATGGCACGTAACAAAGTCCTCAGTGAGAACAAAAGATGATTATTACCACTTTTATTCCTCTGGTGATTACTTTCAAATAACTAAATATTTTTCAGTCACTGTTTTTTAAGTCAGTTTAGATTTTATTGACCTTTTGCAACAATAAATAAAGTATCATCTTCTGTATAGGCAGGATTCACATCTGCCACCCTTGCCACCACAAACCTTAAATGAGGTGGTGGAGCTTGATTTCTTTGGGGCTCCTGTTCTTCCTTGACTGTTTCCTCTTTTGTGAATATTGTGGCTTGTGGTTTTGTCCTTATGTCATCAGCTTTTGTTCTCTTAATGCATTTGTTTCATTGAAATTTGTGACTTTGTCATTGATTCTGCCTCCTTTCCCATTTTGTTTTTTTGTAATGAGTTTTTATACTTCGCTTAATTAAATTCCTGTAGAGTTTTTCTTGTGAGGGAAAGAAAAGTGATTGTTAGCCTAGGAAGTTGGAAGTTTCCCGATTTCTTTGCCAATTATTCAGAAACAGTTGGAACAGTCCATCAACAGAGAACTTCCAGAAATTCAAGCTAGATTCAAAAGAGGCCCCGATGTTGTTCTTCTTGATAAGAGTCTTCATCTCTCACTGACCCTCTACCATGTGTGACATCTTTTTCCTTCCTGATAACATACAGAAATATGGGAGGTGAAATCTTGTCAACCCTGCTGCTAAGGAGCACTGTCCGCTGCATTTCTTCCAAGTGATTTGTCCTTCTGGCCTTGATTGTATATTCCTTGGTACAGGATTGATCAGAGTTACATTGTTACACAGGGAGCTACAGTTGCAATTGACTTGATATCACCTGCCACCAGCCTTTCAGTCAGGATCTCTGGAACACATGTTTAGAGAATTGGGCTGATGCCTCTTTCTTTATTCTAATTCACACTTCAGATTAATTCCATTGATCATAGAACTAACTTTGAAAGTTTAGATTGACCTGCAGATGCTGTGAGCAGAATGTGGTGACTCTCTCAAATATGTCAAATAATAAAATGGCTTAGGGAATTTTTCCAAGATCATTGTAGAATATTATTCAAATTGGGAAAGATGGCAGAATTTTTGTGGTGAAGAAGTTAACAAATAGCGAGCATAACGTACAAAATCTGTTCTATTGTTGGTGATGAGTCTCATTGCCAATGTTGAAGAGGGAGGCTGTGCATATATACCTCTCATAGGCATGAGTTTGCAGTGTTTGTCAGATGTATAAAAGCATTTATATTATATATTGTCAGATGTATAAAAGAACTAGTATTTCAGTTTAGGGGTGTTACTACTCAGGGGTTGCCCCCCCCTCGTTTTACTGTAGCACAGCTATATTTCTTTATTTCTTGTCTACCTGTTACCTGTAGTTGCTTTTGAGTTCCATGGACAGAACTGAATAGTTGGGACAGAAGACATTGCAACCTATAAAGCTTGACATACTTCTATTATCTTTTCAGTGATGAATAACTTTTAAACCTTTTCCCAGAAATAAGTGTGTGAGTTGTTAGGTGCCGTTGAGTTGAGTACCACCCATAGTGACCCTATGAGTAACAGATCTGCACCTTTCCTGTCCTGTGCTATACTCGTACTTCCTGACACACTAGAGCCAGTCCTCACCTTTGCGAGCATCATGTCCTCCAAGGAATAGTTCCTCTTTACAATGGGCCTGAAGTATGTGAGGTGAAGCTTCATCATCTTTGCTTCTAAAGAGCACCCCAGCTGTACCCTCTCCAAGACATCTCTTTTTTCTTTTGGCTGTCCATGGCATGTTCAATGCTCTTCTTCAACACCACAGCTCACAGGCATCAGTTCTTTTTCTGTCATCCAGATTCATTGTCCAGCTCTCAGATGCATAGCAAGTGATAGAAAAGACCATGGCCTGACTCAGAAACATCTTAGCCCAAGATTTGATCTTGAATTTATTCCATCTGAATTTCAAGATCATCTTAAGAATAGGTTTGAGCATTGAACACTAGTGATCGAAGACCAGATGAGCTATGGGATGATATAAAGGATATCATCCATGAAGAAAGCAAAAGGTCATTACAGAGACAGGAAGAAGTCCAAGATGGATGTCAGATGAGATTCTGAAGAGATCACTTAAGAATGGATAGAATGGTATATACACTAGAGAACTGCCAGAAGTTCAACCTGAATTTTGAAGAGGTTGTCGCACCAAGGGTATTATTGCTCATGTCAGATAGATCCTGGCTGGGAACAGAGAATACCAGAAGAGTATCTATGCTTTATTGACTATACAAAGGCATTTGACTGTGTGGATCATAACAAGTTGAGGCTAACATTGAGAAAAATGGGAATCATAGAGCACTTAATTGTGCTCATGTGAAACCTATACTTTGACCAGGAGGCT